AATTTCCAGAGAAAATTACCTCCACCCCCCTCCCTGACCTCATGTATCTTTGAAAAACAACCTAGAGCGCTCATTTTCCCATTCGGTACTGGGGCCCTAAGTAAAGATTCTATAAGTTAACGTTTTGACGATTGACGCAGCACCAAAACTTCTATAGAAAATTAACTCCACCACCCTCCCTCACCACATTTACTTTTGCAAATAACATGACGAGCTGAATTATGAAACCTCTTTTGTTTTTTTTTGTGCCAGAGTTTTTTTTTTCCAATTAGATAACAGACTTTTTTTTGCCGTGCAAGACAAAAGCATATTTTGTGATTTTGGCGAGCGAATGCTTAGTGTTTTCTCAGCGAATATCAGAGCTGCCATCTTTGAATTTTACAGTAATGGAGGACTGGGAAAAAAAGGAAACTTGCTCCGAGGGGATGAGCGACAGTTAAAAGGAAGTGGAGGAGAGGGGATGGGGCTGTAGTTGTATTTCAGTTATTAGCTTCCTTTTTACTAAAGGGAAAAGAAAAAAAAGTAAGGTCCCCCTGAAATCATTATCGGCGAGAGAAGTCTGTCAAATGAGATTCAACAATTCAAGTGCAATGCTTGCAATGTGAGGACTTTTCCTTAATCAGACGTAACTTAGAAAAAAGATTGAAAGTTATTTGACACCCGCAACCTGCTCAAGATTAATCGAGTGAGCTATGAAGGAGCTGGCTAATGTAAAATATACATGTAGCACTCTAAAGCAGCAAAATGAAACTGACTCACTTTTATTCCTTTAGATATTACTATTTCCTTATTTTCTTGTCTTTTACTTTCTCCTCTGTTAACTTGTGCTTGTTAATTCTATATGCAGGTCCTCCTGAAATTAATCCGCAGCTCAAGAACCAGTCGTTTACATATAACTCACCTCTTCAGTTCAAATGCTCTGTAGGTGGTTTCCCTGCACCTGAGGTATTCTGGACTAAGGATGGGTTAAATATTGGCAACAGCAACACTCTCTCAATTAATCGAGTGAAATATGAAGATGCTGGTCAATACGCATGCAGCGCTATAAACAGCAAAGGGAAAAATAGAGCAGCTTTCGAGATTACAGTTACAGGTAAAGGTTAATTTATTTCTTCTATGCAGTTGCTCTCCTCATTTTCTGTTTTTCCCTTTCTTATTTTTACCGATTTTGAATTTTTTCATTTATGCCATGGCCAGGTCCTCCTGAAATTAATCCTCAGCTGAAGAACCAGTCGTTTTTATATAATACATCTCTTGTGCTCAAATGCACTGTAAGTGGTTTCCCTATACCTGAGGTACTCTGGACTAAGGATGGGTTGAATATTGGTAACAGCGACACTCTCTCGATTAATCGAGTGAGATATGAAGATGCTGGTCAATACGCATGCAGCGCTGTAAACAGCGAAGGGAAAATTAAAGCAGCTTTCGAGATTACAGTTACAGGTAAAGGTTAATTTACTTTTTTAAATGCATTTTCTCTCCTCGCTTTCTATTTTTTTTTTTTCATATCACTACCGTTTTGGAATTTTTCTCATTTATTCCATGGCCAGGTCCTCCTGAAATTAATCCTCTGCTCAAGAACCAGTCGTTTGCATATAATTCACCCCTTCGGCTCAAATGCTCTGTTAGTGGTTTCCCTGCACCTGAGGTACTCTGGACTAAGGATGGGCTAATTATTGGTAACAGAAACACTCTCTCAATCAATCGAGTGAAATATGAAGATACTGGGCAGTACGCATGCAGCGCTGTAAACAGTGAAGGGAAAAATAAAGCAGCTTTTGAGATTACAGTTACAGGTAAATGTTAATTTACTTTTTTCTATGCAGTTGCTCTCTTCGTTTTCTGTTTTTCCTTTTCTTATTATAACCGTTTTTGAATTTTGCTCATTTATTCCATGGCCAGGTCCTCCTGAAATTAATCCTCAGCTTAAGAGCCAATCGCATTTATATAATTCATCTCTTCTGCTGAAATGCACTGTAAGTGGTTTCCCTGCACCTGAGGTACTCTGGACTAAGGATGGGTTGAATATTGGTGACAGTAACACTCTCTCCATTAATCGAGTGAAATATGAAGATACTGGTCAATACGCATGTAGCGCCAAAAACAGCGAAGGGAAAAATAAAGCAGCTTTTGAGATTATAGTTACAGGTATTTGTTTATTTACTTTTATTTATGCAGCTGCTCCCCTCATTTTCTGTTTTTCTTTTTCATATTAATACCGTTTTTGAATTTTGCTCATTTATTCCATGGACAGGTCCTCCTGAAATTAATCCTCAGCTCAAGAACCAGTCATTTCTATATAATTCACTCCTTCGGTTCAAATGTTCTCTAAGAGGTTTCCCT